TGCCAAGTCAAACCGGGAAGGATTTTTAGGAATGGAGGTAGTAGTAACTTTTTTATAATGTCATGCCATAACTCCGACATAAAGTGCATTGATTGATAGTGTACCCGGGGATAGCTTATCCGAAGGGTTATTGCGGAGAACAACTAGAGAGAAGTCAGAGCAAATAAGTAAGAGAGAGAGAGAGTCAGATGTATTAATGAAATCTGATCTGGGATCCTTTACAAGAGGAATAATAGCAGCCATAAATGCGATGAGAGTACACGTGTCAACAATCTAACGGCCGAGGGGTCACCTCAATCGGGAGGGTGGCACCGGCATATGCATGTGCACCGCATTAAATGCGGTGGTTGGACGTGACGCCGCATTAAATGCGATGGTTGCTTGTCTCCAAAGGGAATCTTCGATGATTGCAATCTAGCTGAAGGCTCCCCTGTGGCCGAAGGCTCTACGTAGCCGAAGGCTACCCTTACGCCGAGGGAGTCTATGAGCCGAAGGCTCCCGATTTCCGCCGTCTTCTCCCAGTAGCTTTGTATGCCTAAAATCAGTTGTTTCTTGGAGTTTGGAGCCTTCGGCCATGGTGCCGTAGGCATCCCCAGGCACACCGTGGGTTCCTTTGAGCTTGGGTCGCGTGCTTTGGGCCTCATGTGCTTCCTGGCCTGTTGGGCCTGGGTTGGAATAGTAGAAGTCTGTGGCCCGGGGGTCCCTGGGCCATATGCTCCATCATGCATTATATATAATTTGAGTTAAAAACTAAAGTTATCAAATCTAAAAAGAAAAAAAGAACGATAAATTTATAACATTTTCATAATGCTTTAAAAAACATTTTTGTAATATCATGCAGTAGCGTTGACATAAAGTGCAATAAATGTCGTGCAATAACGTCTTCATAAAGTGCAGTATTTTTAGACAAAAGTAGTGTAAAATAGTCAACTAATTTTATTTCAGTTATATATTTGGAATTATTTCTTAAGAATAAAGGATCTCCAAAATCCGCCAAGTCAACTCCGATCGAGACCGAACTCATTGAGCCCGAGCTTAAAACCAATTCTCAGATCATCGAGATAAGCCCAAAACTGAGCCTGAGACCGAGGTCGACCCTCAGCGAGTTGGCGGAAAATCCTGCACTACAGTTGAGCTTAAAGTCAAGTGGCGCCTTACAAGATTAAAAGGTCAAGAAGAGCATCATTTCTTCTGTTATGAGCTGAGATTACCCCCCTCTACTAAACATGCTACATCTGAGTTCAACCTCTGCTATCAAGCTCGAGAGCTCGTATAAAGATTGTGGACTCGGACATTTCAGCACTTGGATTCCTCAAACGTCTATGATTACGTCACCAACGCGACAACTTTCTAAGGCTGACGTCACCCAGGCAGTTATACACGGAAGATTCCAGACTTACACGTGTGGCATATCTACGCATTCCAGTACATAAAGGACAAATTCTGGTGCAACGGTACCAACCAATTGTTGATTGTTCTCTCACCAATTAGTTTTACTTGTGTCAATACTTTATTAGAGAAGTGATTTTTACTTCTTGCAGGGTTTGATGAATTTGACCACCGTGCTTCTTGCCGCGAATAGCAAGCACGAGGACCTTCAGCGACAGACCGAGGATGCCCAACGCCAGGTAAGTCCAGGCTCAGCAGTGGGGGACAAAGTAGAGGCTTGCTTTAATCTACACACAGCTCGCCATGAAGCAAATAGGAAATCTTTGTCCAAGCTTAAATCAAAGTACGATCACCTTGAAGTGTTATCCAAGGATGCAGGATATCAGGCAGTTGCAACTTTCAAGGCCTCCCCAGGATTTTCGGAGCTTGTCACTTCCACGATCAAGGCTCAACACTTGGAGTTGGGTCGAGCTTGGTTGCGGACCAAGGAGAGACAGGATTGGCACGATGAAGAAGTCTTATCTCTTTCGGATGTGGCCAGTATGACATATAGAGGATGTTGTATGACAAGTTGATGGAGCGTTTCCTGACATTCACCCGAAGAAGCTTGGTTTACCCGCAGTTCGTTTTTTATCCCGAGGAGGAAGAGGAGAAGGTGTCTAGTACATCGAGGTCCGCTTTCTTCAGCATCCTCTGCAACACAACAAAAAAAGGATAAACATATAAGTAAAGTGTTCCGGAGAAATCTTGATAGCTGTGGATCTTAAACTCAAAGGCACAAAAGAGAATAAGCTGGGATTGATATTTTATTTATACCCATGATAGGTAGAGTTTAGATCTCAATCGGCAGAATAAAAGTCCTCGTGGGATATAAATTCTTAAAATTTGACCACAATTCAGAATGTCCTATGTGATATGAGTTGATATCTCCTATTTTAATGGTTAACACATGCGTAGGAGTTGCAATTGGAATATATTATAAATTGATATCTCCTACTTTAATTCAAAATTGGCAGTGCATTTGTTAAGTTCCTAGGGAATTGAGTCTACTGCATTTTTGGACCTATTAGAAATAACATGATTTTAAACCAATGAGCAATGTTGGTTTGTTTATGTCGAGATTCAATTTTCACTTATTCAGGATTTTCAAGCGAGTCTCAAGGGGACATTTTGTAGACATTTGAAATTATTGGCCTCTTTTAAATACTATCGAGCTATTCATGACTTTATTGAGCCTCTTTTATGTACTATTGCCTATTGGGACTTATCAAGAGGAGAATAGTGATATGGGTTCTTTGAGATAAAAATATAATGATTACATTAATTCGGATCATTTAAGATATGGGTGTATTTATCTTTTGTTAATTTATTTAATTTTAAATAATTTTAATCAAACTATATCATTTATCTTTCATAAAGTAAGATTGCGTATATATCATTTGAATTATCTGTTTCATATATTGGACATAAAATGTTGATAATAATGTTGTTTTTTATTATTTGAAATTGCATTAATGTGATTGTAACTATTTAATTTCCACATCTTACGGTCGGATCTGTAATACCTATCTACAGGTGGTCTAGCTTGCATGTTTTCTTGATATAATAAAAAACTCCAACTAATTCTCTTATTCTCTTTATATAATTATTTATTATATAATTTTTCTCTTTTAACTCTAATATGAATCCTAACTTTATTCATCTTGGATGTAAAAAAACCATATTACATTATTTTATTAAAATTTATCTTGTGCATCGCACGAGTGAGAATCTATTCGTATAATGAAGGTGTGTGAATTTTTTTCAATGAGCAAGTACATATAGAATTTTTTTAGGATCTCCCAACCCTCAAACCCTAAACTAACCATTTTTAACCGCTAGAGGCTCCCCCAACGGTCAAAACAACCCGCCAAACTAAATCAAAAAAGAAAAAAGATCGTTAGGACCGGTCTATCCCAGTCCAAAAAAAAATACAACCCAAGATGGGTGACGTTGACCGAGGCAAGGGGGTCTGCAGTGAAAACCCGATGGCGCCACGAGTCCACCCCTACAAACAAAGGTTCGGCGTTGCGTATATCATGCATCATGCCTAAGGTGCTGTTCTGTTCGTCTTATTCTTATTACTTATTGCTTATTCTTATTTTATTCAGATCAGATCAGATCAGATCAGATGAAAACTTAAAAAATTCAGATCAGATCAGATCAGAAAGATTCAGATCAGATCAGATCAGAAAGATTCAGATCAGATCAGATCAGATCAGAAAGATTCAGATCAGATCAGAAAGATTCAGATCAGATCAGACCAGATCAGAAACATTCAGATCAGATCAGAAACATTCAGATCAGATCAGATCAGAAAAGTTCAAACATGATTTATCACTTTTATTATTATATTAATTATTATTATTATTAATATTGTTATTACTATTATGATTTTTATTATTATATAATTATTAATATATTAATAATAATATGATAAAGAAATAAGATATTAATAATAGTTATATTATTTTAATATAATAATAGTAATATAAATGCAATTATTAAGAAGACTATTATTATTATTATTATTATTATTATTATTATTATTACAATATAATAATAATATGATTAATATTATTATAATATTATATTATAATTATATGTAATTATAATTATAATTACAATTATAATTCTTATAATTATAAGTATAATCAATTGTAATTATTATAATTATATCTATAATTAATTATAATTATAATAATTATAATAATAATTATAATTACAATCATAATTATAATTATGATTATAATTATAATTATAATATAATATTATAATAATATAATACTAATAATAATAATAATCGTATTATTATTAATATATTGTAATAATAATATTAATATAATAATATCGTTATGATAATATTAATTGTATTTATAGTACTATTTTTATTAATGTTAATTAATGATTAATATAATTATAATTATTATTAATGTTAATATAATAATATCGTTATGATAATTAATGTTAATATAATTATAATTATTATTAATTATAATTATAATAATTATAATTATATTATTATATTATAATATTATAATTAATTTTAATATAATTATAATTATTATTAATTATAATAATAATAATTATAATTATACTTATAATTATATTATAATTATAATTTATGTTTATAATTATTATTTTTATTATAATAATAATTATTATTATTATTATTACTATTGTAATTATTTTACGGAGTAATTATAATAATATTCATAACTATAGTTACAATTATAGAGATAAATATTGTAATTATAATTACAATTATAATTATATAAGTAATTATAATTAAAAATATAATTACAGTTATAATTATATCTATATTTATAATTAGTGTAATAGGTATAAATTTTTTCATTTTAAATTTAATTTTAATTATTATTATTATTATTATTATTATAGTTACGATTATAATTATAATTTTATTTAAATTATATTTGTAATTGCAATTATAATAATTATAATTATAATTATAATCATAATTATAATCATAGAAACATTCAAATCAGATCAGATCAGAAAGATTCAGATCAGATCAGAAGGATTCAGATCAGATCAGAAACATTCAGATCAGATCAGACCAGATCAGAAACATTCAGATCAGATCAGAAAGATTCAGATCAGATCAGATCAGATCAGAAAAATTCAGATCAGATCAGATCAGATCAGAAAGATTCAGATCAGATCAGATCAGATCAGAAAAATTCAGATCAGATCAGATCAGAACTTAAAAAATTCAGATCAGAAACATTCAGATCAGACGAAGAGAACAGCTTCTAAGTCCCGGACGAGGGTTCCAAACCAAACCAACCCAAAGGACAACTAAGCCCCATGGCCCAAACTCGCTCTCGAATACCAATACCAATAGTGTAAAGATGTGTACACACAAAGGGATCTTGTATTACAAAAATTCCTTTTGTACACGTTTTTGTACCCATCAGTACACCCATGTGTCTGTGAGAGTTTTTTTTTGTCTGTGAAGCGCGGTCCACAGACAAAAGCTGGTTTGTTTTGTCTGTGAAATTTTCCACAGACAAAACAAGTCAACTTATGTCTGTGGACCGCGTTTCACAGACAAAAAAAAACTCTTACAGACACATGCGTGTACTGATGGGTATAAAAACGTGTACACCAAGAATGGTTGCTTATATTATTAGAGCGAGCAAGTGAGCATGGAGCTAGTACCGGAAGCATTCAATCCTTGCACATATCCCAATGAGTGTCAATGTCTCCCCAGCGGGAGCCAAGTGAGGAGGCCCTTAGCAACTCGACATAGGGATTGAATGCTTCAGCTACAATCTATTTTGGCAAGGAACTTGGTCTTCGCCGGAAAGGCATTCACTGTTTGGATTTCATCAGAGCTCCGCCTATGCCGCCCATGAGGCCAACTACCACCTTCCCAATGGTTGGAAACACAGCTTCAAGAGAGAGCATTGACTACTTTGTTCTAGCAACTATTAGGAGCCCGTTTGGTAGCACAAAAATTGGTTGGTTTGGCTGATTCTGCTAAAATGTATGAAGTTCCGGCTGAACTGGCTGCATTGGCTGATTCTGCTGATTTAAGAAAAAAATTAAAAATATATTTTATTAATAACATAAAGAAAAAATTATTTGTAAAAATAGCTAAAATAGTCATCTACAGTAACTTCAACCAATACAGCCAGAAAAGTAACTTCAACCTTACTTTTTCTGCTTATTACATAATTCATCGCGCGAAAGCAAAAGTTGTGTGTTTGGTGAAAAAGCTGGCTGATAAGCCTGATAAGCCAAAAATCTGGGTTACCAAACGGGCTCTAGGTTCCCAACTATTAGGGATTTTCTGATATTAATCCCATATATAAGGTTCTTTTATCATAAGGGTTGGAGAGGGGGCTGTGAGTGGGGTTGGTGGGTTGGGGAGGGGGGTGGGAGGGGATGTGGGCATTGGGGAGGTGGCGGTTGTCAATGGTGGTGGTTGCTTGCCAGGTGTGTGTGCGGGGCTGAGTGCGAGTGTGGGAATCGGGGTTGCGGTTGATCAGCCACAGTGTCGACCACAAAAATTTTGATTGAGCGGAAACCATCACAGTGAAATACTACCTTCGTCCCTAAAAACTTTGTCATCTTTGACTTTTCAAGTCAATGGTGGTAAAGCTTGAACCATGATTTTGATTAGTATAATAATATGAAAGTGATAAATTTTATACTTTTATGAAAGTACTTTTAATAAAGAACGTTTTCACATAATTTTTATATTATAAATAATTTCCTATAACATATATAATTGGTCAAAGTTGAACATGATTGACCAAAAAATTCAAAGATGGCAAAGTTTTAAAGAACGGGGGGAGTATTTCCCAACGACAGTGACATGTCTTCCGGCGAGGGGAGGTGCGATTGCAGGGGAGAAGGGGCGTCACTATGACGGCATCACTGTGGCGGTGGCGGTGTAATTGGCGTGAAAACATTTGACAGTGACCACTCAGTGACAAGAAAAAGCGAACACAGTGACATAAATTTTTTGCAGTGACATCATGTTTTCTAATTCCAAATATATGACCTTGTTAATAATGTTTTTGTCAATTTTTTAAAGTACTCACATTTTTGAAAATTCAGTTCAATTTAGTAATATTAAGGGAATAACCCCAAGTAAAATTTTATTAAATATATAAAGCTTAATTAATTTTAAAGTGTAATAAATCGGATGAATCAAGATGGGACAATATTTTCAAAAATTTGGCCTTATAGATCACTCTCTTTTAGACCTTAGGCGAGGACGACCCTGAATGAGAACACAAATACACAATAGTGTGTTCAGCCTAAACACAATATCGGTGGCTCATGGAGTCATGGTTGGAGTTTGTTTTCCTTGGTTCTAATTATTTAAAGTCATGCGTTGGTATAAAAGTTGAACACCTATATCTGGGTATCTGAGCACCTTTTTTT